TATGTCATATGACATGGACTATTATTAACATATATTTCTATCATATATATATATATATTTTTTTTATAATATGATTTCCATTTGTACTGGATATTATTCAAGATACAGTACATAATAGATACCATATATATATTGCATTAAAATGATTATTGGATCCTCAAGGAAATAGTTTCACAAAATAAATATCCAATATTATGTATATATACACATATATTCAAATGCATTCTATATAATATAAGAGACATAATGATAGATATAATATGATATACTTATAGTATAGATACATCACTATAGATAGTATGTTTCTTGGACACTATATTGTTATATATATATAAGAAAATGTACATTCCAAGAAACGCGTCCTTTCTTCGTAAAGCTTCCTGAGGCAGCGCAGCGACAACCCGAGAGCACAACGGACACGTCGAGGACGTGACGCGATGCGCGACGCGATGCTTTTTTTTGGGGGGAATCTACAGTGAAAGACCTGTATTCCCACCCCCGTTTAACTTTACATTCAATTGGGAAGATCAACAAGGGTATTAGGAATATAAATTCCCACCCCCGTTAAACTTTACATTCAATTGGGAAGATCAACATGGGTATTAGGATTATCTATTTCCACCCCTGTTAAACTTTACATTCAATTGGGAAGATCAACAAGGGTATTAGGAATATAAATTCCCACCCCGTTGAACTTTACATTCAATTGGGAAGATCAACAAGGGTATTAGGAATATAAATTTCCACCCCCGTTGAACTTTACATTCAATTGGGAAGATCAACAAGGGTATTAGGAATATAAATTTCCACCCCCGTTGAACTTTACATTCAATTGGGAAGATCAACAAGGGTATTAGGAATATAAATTCCCACCCCCGTTAAACTCTACATAATGATGATGATGATGATGACGATGTTGTTGATGATGATGATGATGATGTGGATGGTGATGTTGTTGTTGTAACATTCAACGCACAGGTAGCTAAGCTGTGCGTTGCAAGTTGAAAGCCATGATCATGGACATGTGCATTTTGTCACACAAAACACAGTGTTTTTTGATGTTCGGACATGTCGTCGACGTCGGCGCGGGCAAACTGAGGGGTTTGCCCGTAACTACACTTAGTCGTACTGATTAATCCATTGATATACATTATGGGGATAACTATAGAACTATCACTGTATTAACTGTATAGTTGATTAATCCATTGAATTACAAAACTGATTGGTGGTTTGGAACATGAAACTATGACTTTCCATATATTGAAAATGTCATAATTTTCAACTGACGAACTCAGATTTTTCAGAGGGGTAGGTATACCACCAACCAGATAGGGTTTTAATGATTTAACTATCATCAAATGAGGATATATACTTGATAGATGATCAACCAACCAGCATATACGGACCGCAGCGAAGGGAGGACGGGAGGGATTTGAACACAGCCCTGGTATGGATGATCAATCGATTGATTTTTTCGTTCAAATTATAGTGGAGTACCCCCCAAATCATCAATCATTAGACCATGTATATTGAATCTCTTGAAATTGGGCCCTCAAATCTCAAGATGTTCGAAAAAGAACACCACATGATCAGCCACAAAACCATCCGGAGAAGGCTGATAGCTGGGAAATTTCGCTTTAAATAGTGTAGGTATCATGTCCATAGGCTTTTCATAACATGGTGCCCACCCCAGCTATGTTTGTTGGATTAGAACCCCCATGAATATTATAGAATATTATAGATGTTATATCTACTGGTACCATCAATCAGAGTTAACCTAGTGATAAACCAACTTCGCTAAGGACGCCACGGACGCCACGGACGCCACCTTTTTTGGCATTACATGGGTGTTTCTCACCAGACCTTCCGAAGCCGTTGGGATTCCACACCATCAACCAAAACCACTATTAAACCATTGGTTCAATGGCCATTCCAGGATCCAATGTATTGGAGGTACCTAGCATATATATAAGGCCTTTTTTCTTAGGCATAAATTTCAGGGAATATCCCCACAAAATATGGCCTTATATGGTACAGTACCTCCAATTTAGGATCCTGGAATTCCCATTGATTGGTTGAAGGAATTGAATTCCTAAGCCCAAATGGGTTGCTTTGAATGAGAGACGTTTGCACATAGCATAGTTTTTCCATATTTTTTGTCACAGATGAGTTGCCCGCTTGATGACAAGTTATACTAAGTCAAATCGCATCTTTGGTCACACTGAGTGCTTCCCACAAGCAGTCTGTGAGGGTTTTGTCATTGACGGCAATGCCGCCGAGGATCCAGATATCCAGATCCAGGGCTTAAATGACTCAGTTGACTGGAACCAAAAACTGGATTTGCCGTTTGTCAATGATGTCTGAGCTCATTTTCCCACTTGGAGATCCACAAACACTAGGGGAATCTACAGTTTGGGGTGTTCCGAAAAAGCAAATGCACGAAAACATGGCGGTTTGAATGTGAAAGCGTCCGCCATCGTTAGCCGGTTAGCCTCTGGTAATCAAAGCTGACCTATTGCTTGGAAATCCCCATGAAAACTGGAGGTTTATAGCTGGGAAAGCCATCTGTGAGGATTGTCCAGCTAGCCATGTTTGATGAAGAGGGTAATTTATGAGGCCTAGGTAGCCAAATATGGCCTAGGTTTCCGAGCATCATTTGTTTATTTTATTGTGTCTTCAGCATGGCTAACCCTAGATGTTACTTGGGGCTGCTGTTCCGCTATTTGGAGTGGGTATAGGTAGCATAGGACCATAGTTCTAGTGGCCCTTACAATCCAACTTTCTTATACCCATTAAAGCTGGAGGCAAAACTGACTCCAACACAACACCAAGAACATTTGCAGAATTGTGTAGTATTGTGCCATGCAACACCATGCGCTAATCAAGAAACAACATCCAGAATGTGAGTCAAAAAAGTACGGGATGACGCTTGTATGCACTGTGAAAGTTTTGGTAGTACAAATCGGGGACAAGTTGATTTATTCTCACCCATCCAACGGAATAATTATAGCGATATATTGTCTACCAAAATCCAGTTAATTCCATGTATTACTGTAGTCACAGACAAAAAGGTCGTTTGAGTTTGGGTAATAAACGGATAGGTTCCAAGAATGTATATTTATAACTTTTATCAAACCTCGTGGAACTTGGGGCTGTGTGCTTTGCATATCATTCACTTCGCGAAAAAATCCGATAGCTTCTGGGAGGCATAGAGTATTCCTTACCTAGTCCCTAAATGTCTCTAATGGCTAAAATAGGATCAAAATCAATACTCGCTTCAATAGAGCATACAGCGTGGGGGATCTTTTGTTGTTTGCTTTAACTTTTTGTGTGTGTGACAACGTGTAGCGTTTGCACGTTGGAGAATAGCTTTGGTTCTTTTGAGGTCCAAGTTGGCTTGGTTCAGGGCCAAGCCCTACAGTTATGTCCCTTTACCAACTATTAGTCAGTGAAATCACCTCATTTATGGAATAATAGCCCCATTTACAAGCATTTATAGCAATTTATAGATGGTAAAGGGCTTTAACTGTAGGTGCCATCTTTGGGCGTTTTTGGTTGCAACTTTTGGAGACGTTGATCGCATCTTGGTTATTAACTTGAACGCAACATTTGCCACATAAAGAGATCTTCTCAAACTTTAAATGTTAATGGTTGCTGCTTCTGACGAACTCACCAACGAACTAACCATCCCGATTCTATAGGTATTACGGCAGCGCGTGACGCCCATGCAGAAGCAGTTTTCGAAGTTTTTGAGCACATTTCAGGAGCTTGCGACAAACATGTCCGAAGATCCCGAATGTAAGTGTGTGTGCCTGCCGGTGCTGACCCGTGATCTGACTGGTACAAGAAAGGGACCCTCCTAAGATGTTTGCTGGTCTTTCTGGCAGCTTGTAGTTTGGGTCAGTGGCTGACTGGCAGGGTTCACCGGATGCACACATCTAAAACCCAACCCTGATGCAGCCAGAGCCCATGTGGAACCTTCATCAGGCAAAATAGATGTCGGTCTGGTTCGAATTTGTTTTGCTCACCCGCGAGCTGATTTGACATGGACAGATCTGGGACACAATGGCCTGATCCTTTCTCATTGTGACAGCCACGCGTGATCGCAATTTGGGTTTGCTTAGGTCTTGCCACTTGTTATCCCCCCATCTCGGCGTAGAGCTTGCAGATTGGGGCAGCTAATAGCTGCCCCCGTCTCATGGCTTCAGCAAGCCTTGGGCCTTCCTTGGTTGACATGGAATACGCTGGAACACTCCAATATCCAGATGACACAGAGGATGTTTTTCTACCGTGCCATGAGGTTCAAGGTAAGTATTTTACACAAACAACTATGTTGACAGAATACAAGAATATTTGGTGTGTCCAAAAAGATGATACCATAGAATGCCGTGATACCTTTAATATCCACGCGGGCATCATTGCTACTTAAGTGTTTTGGACGAGCAACCGTGACTCGTTTCCACTTCTCCACCAAACTTTTCGTACGGACAAGCCCAACGGTTAAGATTGGTTTGCATATCAACGGGTCAATTTTTAGAGTCGATCCAAGATCCCATGGCTTTTAGCCAACAAACATGAGGATTGTTCAAGATACCCAGAAAATGTTGTTGAATTTGGAATGGTGACCCCCGGCTGGAATTGGAGCAACCGGTTTTTGAGATAACACCCCGTTAGTGGGATTGCTTGGTGGTTTGTTCATTTCGGGGTCAGTTGCAGCAGTCAGTTTGGCAGGATGGTTGAAGGAGCTGCCCAGGCTAAAACCAACAAGACCAGTAGCTGGATAGGCGGATCATGCTTGGCAGATCGGGTTGTCCAGGCGAGCAGTAACCAACCACAGAGTGCCTCCACCAGTACACTAGCTAGAACATTTCTGAGAGTAAATGTCGCCTTGTTGTTGTCCAAACTTGAAATCATTGTGGCATCGTCATTCTGGCAACTAAGAAATTTTAAGAGTAGCGCCCCGCACCCAGGGAAACCTTCCAGCGTTGACGGTTTGAGCCATGGCTGTTTGTCAAACAGCGGCAGCTCAGGAATATTGTAGCCATGTGCGCCACTCAATGCAGCCTCTGCAAGGTCCATGGTTGCCGCCCCTGATGAATTCACTCACCACGCAGCAGCTACCCCAAGCGAACATGGAAGGGTGCCGGCGACTGACCCTAGGCGACGTGGAAACTCAGTTTCTTGTGGCAGCTGTTTGTGAAACCACATAGCCAATTTCTATTTCAAGTGGCGCGCTCCCTGTCAAAAAAACGATCCAAACTTTACTTGAAAGTTGAATCTGTAGAATTTGGGCCCGTTGATTATTTCTATGTGCAAACATTGCCATCTGTTTAGTGGCAAATCCAATTTCAGACAACCCGAAAGACCGCATTGATGGATTTATTCCCTGTCATATCCCGCAAATAGGCCAGAAAAAAACAAAATATATAAACCTTTAAAAGAAACACCATAAACATATCCGATTTGCATCTCCGGACCTTGTTGGTTTCGTACTTCAATGTGTGGTTCCAGTTACACAGGCATTGAAATTCATAGTTATTGGCCAGGGTGTGTTTACCCCAACTTCTCGGACATGTTTCCATGTTTATCGCATGTATAAACTTGATTGTACCACCTTTTCTTTTTCGTGGGTTATGCCTTCAACATCCCATCATTTTCCCTCGTGTTTATTGTGTAAACCTATCATTAACCTTCCATTTTCCAATCCTTTTATATAGTGAAACGCTTAATTTTCATCCTTTACCTATTGTTGAGTGGTTCGAACTACCATAAACCTACCATTCCTTCCACTTCAGGAGCAACGATTTCCCCAGCGCCACCACCGTCGAGACGTTGGAAGCGCCGCTACCACGGCAGGTGGCACCGGCACCGGTGGAAGCACCGCCAAAACCAAGGGTGGAAGCAACACAGGCGCAGGGGGAGAATTTACTTGGACGTGCATCCCACCAACCATAAGCTGGTTGGTGGTTTGGAACTTTTTTTTAGTACACTTGGGATTAATGGATTATAGTGGTTTGATGGATTTTAATGGATTTTAATGGAGTTTCCATATATTGAGAAGAATCATCCCAACTGACTTTCATATTTTTCAGAGGGGTAGATCAACCACCAACCAGATAAGTGGTTAATAATCATTTTTGTAAATGAAAATGATTACGCAATAAAAATAATAATTTGTCACCCACTTAGTACATGGTTGATCACCACATCTTGAAACCGTTAAACCAGTTATATACCGGATAACCCCATAACTGAGGACTTACGAACTGGGGTTAGCCGATCCACTTACGACGTGGGATGATCCTCCAAGTATTTGAATGTGCATCCCAGTTGGTTTCCTGAGGATACAATGGCGTTTTCACCATCAAAAATTGGAACATCATGGGAACCAATAGCTGATGGCAGTGCGTAATTCCCAGCCATTGTATATATATTTATATATATATATATATAGCTGATGGCAGTGCGTAATTCCCAGCCGTTGTATATGGTATATATACATATATATATATATATATATCATATATATATATATATATGAGTATCCGACAAAATTATTAGCATTTGAAAGTAGTAGGGAGCTGCCTTGAACTTTGCTTGCCTTCACGAAACCTTCACAACCGATAGGGGACGACCCAGCACCGATACCCTTAGAGTCCAACACGTGCTCACAATAATCTGGAGTAAGGTGTTTATTTCTACAGCAGTGGCTACAAGCAGGGCTGTAAACAGCTACCTCAGCTAGCTTTCTCTTGCAGGGCACCAAGCATACTGTTTGCGGCAATTCATGCACCATTCTCACCGATACCCCAACCGATGCCAACCGATACCAATTTTTGCAATTATTCTCACTTGCCGACACCATGCCCCACGTACTACTCTTGCTGCTACCGCTTCTCCTACTACCACCGCTTCTCACACCAATACTACTACTACTACTACTACCTACTACTACTACTACTACTACTACTACTACTACTACTACTACTACCTACTACCTACTAACTACTAACTACTAACTACTAACTACTAACTACTAACTACTAACTACTAACTACTAACTACTAACTACTAACTACTAACTACTAACTACTAACTACTAACTACTAACTACTAACTACTAACTACTACCTACTACCTACTACCTACTACTACTACTACTACTACTACTACTACTACTACTACTACTACTACTACTACTACTACTACTACTACTACTACTACTACTACTGCGCCTGTTATCAAAGAGCGAAAATCTTCACAACCGATAGAGGACCACCCAGTTTTGCCCGTGGCAATTACGGGGAACAAATAACTATATATATATATCATATAATGATTGAATGGGATATTTAACATATTTGGGGATATATACTAATGGTACATGGTACGACAATTAATTGGATGTAATTATATCAATGTGGGTATGTAAATGCGAAAACCATTTGTGAAAAAAAACAGCTAGCAATGCTTGATTACCACAGGGTATGTTTGTGTTTTTTAGCTTCATATTATCCCTTACCCAGATGCTCCATGTATGGAATATTTACCTACATTTGGGCCATTTTTGGGGTAAATGTAGGTAAATATTCCATACATGGAGCATCTGGGTTATAATTTAACAATTAAAACCAAAATTTAGCTGCAGCATCATATGATTAATGCGCACTTTCTTCGTCACTAAGTGGACCACCGTAAAATTTTAAGTGTGGATATAACGCACTAACCAAAGTGGGGTGAACCAGCAAGGAAGGTAGGGAGTTCCCAAACTCTTAGAAAATTGTCTATGAAACTAACAAAAAACCGGACCTGCATTTTCGGAACTATGGGTTTTGGATTAGTTTTTTCCGAATCCACAACACGATCCGATCTTTGGATCCGAAAACCAGGCACAACAGGCCCACGAAGGCGGCGAATGGTTTGTATCCCTGTGTTGTTGGTTGAAGAAAAAACGCGCAAACTCCCATGGTTTATCCTTATGATTTCCATGAAATATATTTGTTTT